CTAGTACATCGTCCTCTTGTAGTTGAGCCTTGGTTGCTGTTGGCAGGTCAGTGGGAGGGTTTTACCCAGGCCAGTCAGCTGCAAGGACTTGTTTTGACCACTGACCACCAATCTCTGTCTTCTGTGGAGGGTCAGTGGCTCAGGGCCAGGGTGGTGGTGCTCCAGTGTGGTCTGTAGCTGTTCGCTGGATGCACAGGCCCTGGGGTTTCCCAGGTGGTGCAGGCCGAGGTCAGTAGTACTCACCTCTGTTCTGCCTGGGGCCACCCTGACTGAACTATAAAGCAATCCGAGATGGCTGCTACTTGTGCTGGGCTTGGAGGCTCCCAGGTAAGGCCAAGCTGTGATCCAGGGCTGGCTGCTGCTAGGGCTGGGCCTGTGGCCACTTAGCTAGAGGCAGGGGTCTAGAGGCTCACTGAGGCCGGTTGTCGCTTGTTTGAGGGGATCTGGGAAGTTGTGAAGCATCAGCCACAACCAGCCATTCCTGTGGAAAAGTCACTGTTAACAGTTTGGTAAGTTGGTTGGGACAGAGTCTCAGGGGATCTGCAGGGCGGGCAAACAGCGTTAGCTAGGTTGGTAGAGTCTCGGTTATGGCACCCACTTGCTGGCTCTGTGTGGGGAGGGTTCAGAAAGGGGACAGTGGCCTCTTCCTGCCTTTCTGCCCCCTCAGCTGTTGCCTTGCTGCTAGAGTCCTTCAGTTCCTCCCTGTGTGCCATGGGTGCCACACGTCCAAGCTGCTGCCCTGGTGCTGGAGCTCTGGGGCAGTGAGTCCGAGTTAGTCTGTGTGTGGGTTCTTTAAAAGGAACTGCTTGGGACTCCAGAAGTTTCTTCCAGTGACTCAATCCCCACTGGTTTTTGTAGCCAGGAGTTATGGGACTTATCTTCCTGGCACTGGAACCCTGGGCTGGGGGCCTGGTGTGGGGCTGGGACTCCTCACTAATGAGATACCACCCCTCCGGGATTCTTACCCACCACACGTGGTTGTGGGACCAGCCTGTTCCGTGGCCCCCGCCTCTTCTGCCAGTCTGGATAAATGTGGTTTCTTTAATTCTGTAGTCGGACTTTATTCGACTCAGTTTTTGATGGTCCTGAGTGATGGTTGTTCTCTATTTTGGTGGTAATTTTGATGTGGTTGTACAAGGACGTGAACCAGATTTACTTACACTGCCATCTTGACCAGATATCGCCGCAAGGTTTTGAGTGACAGTCGGATGTTTTTCTGAAGTTGGTTTCCACCAACTTCACGAACTTTGGAAAGTCCAGAGACAGATCTTCAAGGGCGGCTGGATCTAGGAGCTCAGATGGCGTCTCGGGCTCCGCACTGTGCAGACGCTCAGGCAGGTGCTGTCCTGATGCTGCCGCCCAGGACCCTCACCCCCTCCCAGCTTCCCTGGTGGAGGGGCCAGGCCATGCATGTTCCCATGGCCCCTGGAGGAAACCCCTAGGAGAGCTTCCTCCCCAAGTTGGCCCAGGCTCTTTGGACCGTGGCCCTCCGATGGCCTGTGGCGGGTAGTGGGGTGGAGACCGGCCTCCTCCACACTGCGTGGAGTGAGGAGCTTTGTGACTAGGAAAGGAAAGGTGGGCTGAGCAGGTGATGAGAGTGGCTTTTGATGGCAGCTGATACCCCACATGTCAGCTCCTTGCACTGTTGCCTTAGCGTTGTCTGTGCTTTGTGGGGCAGGAGTTCGAGCATGGGAGCAGTGGAATCCCTTCTGGTCCCATATGCCGATCTGAGCTGCTTGGACACGGCGGGCAGGCTGCATCCTGTTCTCTAGACCAATGGCTGTCACATTTTTAAAAAACTTTTATAAGCCAGAATTATTTAAAAAAAAAAAGACTAGGTCATTGGATTGTCAACTTTTAACACAAAAACAAAATAAACCTAAAATTGATGACATCTTAAAAACAAAAGGGGGATATTCTATGAAGAAGGAAGAATGCATTTAACCATATGAAGAGATCGGCATCATTTAGATGAGCCTTTACCTGCAGAGTTTTCAGTGATGCGGTGAGTCTCTGGTGTGGCTCACCTGCTGTGTTCATCGTGTGGCTGGTTGGCAGCAGAGCGCAGGTTAGAACCCAGGCCTCTCAGTTCTCAGTCTTGCCACTGTTGGTCCTCCAGGTCGTATTATATTAATAAAAATGCCAGGATTTTCATTAAAACTCTGGTTCATTTTATCTGGTGCTTTTATACAACTTTCCGCTTTATGTTTGTGAATGCCTGGTTGGAACCACAAGTGAAATTGGTCATTGGTGTTATCAAAGTTTACTTCTTGACAATAAACTCTTTTCTGAAAGCCGATTGCTACGTGTTGAGCACGGCTGTGGGCCCCGGGGTTGCAGCCACTGACAAGACTGAAGTCCCTGCCCACTGAAGTGTGCCTTCCAGTGGGGGAGACAGATGACAAACCGGGAAGAAATAGACTTTCAGGTTGAGCAAGTGCCAGGGAAAAATTGTTCAATATTTTTGACCAGTGGATTAACCTCTTGGATAGGAGAGAAGCCACACCCATTCTATACCAAACCCCATTATCTTGTAAGCTTTCCTATGTTGGGGGACTTAGCTGCGAGCAACAAGACTGGGGGAAAATGGGAAGCAGGTGGCCCCCAGGCAGAACTGGGGTTAAGAAAAACTGGGTTCTCGGGGGTCCGTTTTTATCCAGTGCCTCGAGCAGGATGGTGTACTCAGGTGTGATCTAGGCTGGCGTGGCCACCTAAGAATGCCAGACAACAGGTGGCACTAAGTACCAAAGAGGAGAGTGGGGTGCGACTATGTCCCACAAACGTGTGTGCTTTCCCTGTGCAGGGGGTGGGAGGCACTGTGCTGGGTGCCAGTGCATGAGCTCATGTGAGCCCCCAAATCACCGTAGGTTGGTTTTCATTGTCCCCACTTTACAGGTGAGGAAGTCCAGTCTCATCAGTAGAGACAAGAAATGACTTAGCCAAGGCCACAAAGCCAGTTAGCGGTGGGATGAGGATGTCTAACTTCAGAGCCCATTTGCTGGGACTCTCCCATAATCCAGGACAAATCGGGCCAGTAGCGTCAGGGTCAGTTAGAAGGGATTGTAGACAAAAGTCAGGATCCAGCAGGCTAGCCAAGGCAGCAGCTGCCAGAACAAGCAGTGACGCTTAGGGAAAGGCCACGATGTGCTGCCGGGCAGGCTCGTGGGTGCCCGGGGGCGTTTCCGAGTCAACAACGGGAAGCCAGACCAGTGCCAGATCCCATTTGCTTTGGGTGGAAGCTGTTACAGTCTTCCCTGCCTTGGCCTCGACTTTTTCCCAGGCTCTGTGGCTGTCCTTAGCCAAGTGGGGGTGGGGTGGGAGGGAGTTGTTTGCCACCAGAGTGTACCTTGCGCACATCGTGCTTCCTGTTAGCGTCTCTTAAACCAGAGCTGTGGTCAGAAGGGGTGGTTGCTGCCTCTGCTGCCTGCTTCCTGTGTGGGCCTTGGGCACCTTAATGATGGGACCCCAGGTCTCAATTCTGTAAGATGGGGACAGTGCTTAACTAGTTCACAAGCTGGAAGCAAACTGAAGCAGACAACACGCCCCATGTGGAGGGTGTCTCCCATGTGTCACACCTGGCCTGGGTGTGACGTGTGGGAGACACTTGGGGGTGAGTTGACATGATTAACACTAAAAATGACTTTGAAAATAGCCCCATTTGATGGGGGAGCCCCATTTTCGTTTGTCTCTATTTGGTGGAGGGGGTGCACAGGCAGGTGTTGCATAGAGAAGGGATTCTGAGAATAAGCGGATTGTGTCCAGGCATTAATGGTGTGTGTGTGTATCTCTCCTGGGATAGGCGACATGCTGTTCCGTGGTCATTTCACTGAGGCCGGAATTGATGTTGCTACAAGGCAAGTAACTGCCTTCTAGCTGTGCCAGACAGGGCTCTGCAGGCCGAGTTCTGGGAACACCCCGGGGGTCAGCAGAGGTGTCCTGAGAAAGCCCCCAGAGGCTGTGCGGTCTCTGAGGTGGGGGTGTGTTCTCTGTCCCCGTCTTTCCGGTGGTGGAAAGGGTCTTCTGGAGGAACACGGGCACCGCTGTAGCCGTCAGCCCCTCCGCTGAGCTGCTCTTCTGGGTGTCCTTGCCTCGTGATTTAACTTTTCCATTTGGAAAGATTGTTGGTGCTCTTGGCAGCCCCTGGCCTGGTAAACGATCTGGTGGGGCCTCCATAAACCCAGGCCCATGGAATGAGTAAGCCCGCACATTGAAAATACAGCGCGGCAGTGACTCAAGCCTGCAGGAATCCATCCCTGAAAGTGCTGCCATCCCCTCCTGGAATATTTTGGTGGAAAGTGCTGTTCGAGTTGGGAAGAAGAGGCCAGCAGCCTGGTCACCAGCAAAGCCTCGCGTCACATGGAGCAACGCGGGCCCTGAGCCCACGGAGCCCTCCTCCTCACTGAGGTGGCCCTGGGCAGGTCAGCCTGGTAGAAACCCACTGGAGCTCCAGCTGGGGATGCTGGCGTGGCCCTTTCTTTGCAGCAAGTAAGGTTGACTGTACAAGTCAACCTGGTAATGCTTGGCCAGAGGCCTGGAAAGTAGTGGAAACTCCACCCAGCATGGGAGCCTGTGGGAGTTCTCCGCCACAGGCGGGTTATCATTCTCAGAGTTCAGTGGGTTCCCGTGTATTTAAAGTGTTTACCTTCTTCTCGGGACTTGAGCTTGTACTCTGCCCACCAGAGACCAATACCAAGCATGCACGTGCTTAAATGTACTAGACCACCCTGGCGACCAGGTGAGTAAAACTGCACACAGGTTCGGAAGGATGGCTGGACTGGAAATCACGCTCTGCTGTAATTCAAGAACAGGCTTCTTTATAGAGGGACCCAGTTGGTGTCAGACACATGGGGCAAAGAAAAGAACAGGCCCATGATTCTGGCAGGGTACCAAGGGCCAGATGTTAAATGTGCTGACCACGATCTGGCTGCGGTTGCCGTTAGCCAGCCTGGGTCTGATGTGTTGTTTTAACCCATGTCTGCCTTTTCCTTTCTCTCTGCCAGGTCCCCAGTCTATGTGAAGATCTCCTGTCTTCTGTTGACCAGCCGCTGAAAATCGCCAGAGACAAGGTGGTGGGAAAGGATTACCTGTTGTGTGATTACAACAGAGACGGGGACTCGTATAGGTGAGCGCCTGGGCAGGCTGGCAGCCCGTCAGCCAGTTCACATTTGTCCTTGTTCTGCTTCTCCCCTTCCGTGCAGTCAGCCAACAGGTGCTGTGGGGTGCCTCCAGTGAGCACGGAGGTTTAGCATGAACAAAAGCTATTGCAAAACAGTGAGCAGTTTCATTATTTATTAAGTCCTGCAAAGGACAAGGTACAGACTATGGACCCTGAGCACAGGAGGGCTTGTGTGGCTTAAGGGGCATTTGAATGGGACTTTGTGAGACAGATAGGCAACTCTCCTTTCTCTCTTCCATTGCCATGCTGAGGGCAGTAAATAACTAAGGTGACATCAGTCCCTCCCCTGGGTGATCACTGATCTAGAATCAGAGATGCACCCAGCAGCTGATAATTGTACGGTGTGTGTCATGCAGCCGGTGCTAAGCTTATGTAGGATTTGAGGGTAGCGTAGAGGAGACCATGGTTGAGTCTAGGAGGACTTCCTGTGGGAGGTGATGTCTGAGCTGGGTTTTTAAGGGTGTCTAGGAGTTCTTCCTGTTAAAAAATTAAGAATCATAAACCAGCCTAGTATTTCTGTGATGGATTGCTATAGTCAGTGCCTTGAAGAATGGTGGTGGTGGGGGGGGACCCAGTCTGCTTTAGGTTTATTTGGGGCCTGCAGAACCTAGGCTGAGTTTTGAAGCTTCAGCATAGTGCTTTTTGGGGGGAGTGGCAGTGGGGTCAGGGTCAGAGAAATGGAGTAGGCAATACTATCTGAAGTCAGCCAACCTGGGCCTCAAACCAGCACTGCTCTCCATAGCAATGGGGACTTTGACAAGTCTCCCATTGGGGGACTTGGGCCTGAGCATCTGGCAGGTCAGGGTCACTGTTTATTGAGGTGAGGAAGACTCTCGGAGTTGCTGGTTTGGGGGCACTTTAAGGTTGAGGTGCCCATTAGGTGAGAGTGGAGGTGTCCAGCATTCTGTGACGAGTCTTGAGGTCTGGGTGGAGAGGGAGGTGCCCCTGTGGGGGTCCCCAGTGTAAAGGTGGTGAGAGAGCCCCGAGGCAGGCAGGCTCAGCCTTGAGGGCCAATCACGGCACAGGCTGTGAGCTCAGGTCCAGGTCCTGTCCTCACCGGGGGGCCTCCTAGGAAGTGGGGGGGCCAGCCCTTCCAGAGAGAGAGGTCACGAGGTGCCAAGTGGTCCCATGGACCCCGGGGTGCACATCTCCTAAGGACAAGCAGCCTTGCCAGGAGCAGGGTTCAGGGGAGGCTTCCCGAAGAGGTGACCTTGAGCTGAGTCTTGCTTAACCGAGATCACTGTGGTTCCCTTCGCCACCTGACAACTCCAGCTTGCCCTGTAAGGCAGCTACTCCCCAGCAGCCTGCGGAGGGCTGGGGTCGTTTCCAGGTCCACACCAAGGCTGGGCCACCCTGAGGTCTTGATACCGGCCTCCCATCCAGGTAGGCCTGCCAGCTCCCACCTTCATCCCTCGGGCACTGCGGCGGGGCCCAGGGGACCGCAGCCGAAGAGGACCCTGGGGTGTCGGGGCTTTTCCTCCCTTTGTCCTCTTCTCTGTGTAGAGCTTCTAGGTCTTCCGATTCTCCCCACACGCTTACATCCTAGCTGTTTGATCGTTTGCTCAAATAAGATCCTTATGGTGTGACTGTTGCCAGCAGCACCGTTTGAAACCTGTTAGCTGAAACAAAAAGCATTCTCCGAGGGAAATGAAAGGCCTGACTTTTGAAATCTAAGTGTTCCTGTCCATCTGTCTTTTTTCAAATGGCCTCCATTTAAGCTCTTAAATGTGCTCTGAGTGCCCCTTCCACCAAGAATATTCTGGAGAATGTTATGATTTTCCCCCCAGCTACAATTACCCTGGCTCCGGGGCTAACGGCTTGAAATGCTGTCGTCTGTGAGCCAGGAGAAATGTGAGTTACAGGCTTCTTGAAAATTCCAGACCCCCAGTCTGCAGGAGAGATGGGCTCTGGTGTCTAATCAGGTCGCCTTCAAGTGAAAGCCAGCCAGGGCGGGTCTTCCAGGCCCACAGGAAGGCGATGCCGTTTACCTGGGCAGCAAAGGTCGGAGCCTGAGTGTTACAGGGAGACTCAGCGTGTCGGGGGTGGGGGTTCGGATTCTTGTGCCCAGACAGCTCTCCACTCCCACCGGAGAGTGGCAGTGCCAGGCCGAGTGTGCAGATAGAGGCGGCCACACTCTGCAGCTGCGTCTTTTGTCTCTGGGTTTGGGGAGACGCCTCGGCAGGCAGGGTAGAAAGTTGCCCCGTCTCTGCCGGTTTGCAGGACCACCGCAGACAGTGTTCCCGTGGGTCCTTTCTTCCCCCTCCGTGCTGTGAGCCACCGGCCCTTACTGCACACAACCTCGGTGCTACCAGCTTGGGTGTGAAGGCAACAGCCCAGGCCCCCTTCTCAGTTTTCTCGTAGTGCAGGGCAGGAGAAGGGTGGGGATATGGTAAGAATCAGCATCTATGTGGGCGGGAGGGGACAGGGCTCAAGGGCGTGAGGGTGGTTACCTCTGCTTCGGGGGATGGTGTTCGAGAACTGATTTATTCTTCGAACAACACTTTTCGGAATAAGTGTGGGGTTGGGTGTCGGGCTCTGTTCTAAATGCTGAGCACACAGCGGAGAACGGAAGACTTGCCTTGTCAGAGCTTAGGTTCTGGAGTTGGCTGGCTGAACTGAAATCGGTTCGAGTGAGATTAAATGAAAAGTTCAGTCCTCAGGTGGCACTTGCCACAGGTCCTCAGTAGCCACATGGCGCTCGTGGCTGCATTTGGACAGCGCAGTCACAGGGCATCTCTGTCGCTGCAGAAAGTTCCCTCAGCACAGTTCGGAAGGACGAACTGGACACAGCTGCCCGCCCTCGGAAAGGGCAGGTCTTCTCAACTTGCTGACTTAGGTGCCTGGTGTGGCACCCACTACCAAGAAGAAAGGTGTTTGTGCACAGAATTTGTTAAGACTGGGATTCAGAAGACAGTGGTGCCTTCTTCCTTACACCCACTCCACGTCGAAAGGTTCTTTTGAGTCCTCAGTGGTGTGGGGTTTCTTGTCGTAGGAGAAACGGGAAAGGTGCTGTGTCTTGGGTACAGCGGGCACATGGAGGTGTTTACGCCCGAGAGTGTAAAGGGCTTTGTCTGAGTTTCACACTGTCTTCTCCTTTCCATGCCTCTCACCTTTTTAATTCTTTTTCCTTCTGTGAACCCCCAGCTCTGTGAACGCCACCTACAGGATTTAATGAGTAGATATTGCCCTTATAGCCCCCTTCCCAGTACTCTTGGCGATTCAGTGCTTTCCTGATGTGGCAAAATGCACTGTAAGAAACGAGGCGAGTCCTGGGGCTGGCAAAGCGGGGGCCGGTTCTCATTACTCAGCAGTCCTCGTGTGCGCACGGCCCTTGGTGTTGGGAAGGCTGTGCTCTGTCCACACGGAGATCCCGATTGCTCAGATTCCCTGTGTGGAATCTGTGTCCTGGGGGGGGGGGCGAGTCTCTTGCCCACTTACGTAATGTCAGCTCTCTTCCTACTCCTTACTCGTGTTGGAAGGCCTTTGGAGTGAAAGTTTCTCCAGAGCTGCCAGCGGTCAAGGAAGAGAGAGAGGTGTCTATCAGTCCAAGGGTAAAAAAGAAAGGGCAGTTAGAAAAAGGGTAAGAAAGAGAAGTTACATTTGTTGGACGTGCACTGGATGCCAGGCTCTGGTCTCAGCACTTCTGATATTTCTCCTCCTTTGCTCCTCGTAACAGCCCTTTGGGTAGCAGACACCCAAGTCTGCCAGCTTTGCAGACTCTCTTTGCAGAGCCCTCACTCTGCAAACCTCAGGGAAGCCGGGTTTGTTGCCAGGGCCTGGAAAAATCTTTGCTGTGGGTAGTGGCTTTGTGTCTGAAGTTTCAGACAGCTGGGGCTTAGGCTCATGGGTCACAGGCTATGTCTCCCCAAAATGATAATGTTACCACTTCCCCTTTCCCCCCTCCAGGTCACCATGGAGTAACAAGTACGACCCTCCCTTGGAAGACGGGGCCATGCCCTCTGCTCGGCTGAGAAAGCTGGAGGTGGAAGCCAACAATGCCTTTGACCAGTACCGAGACCTGTGAGTCCCTCGCTCCCTGTGCACGTCAGCTCCTGTGGGTTTGATGAGTAAACCCATTGTGACTGAGTCAGGGCCAGGCCGGTGAGGCTCTCTTGAGCCTGTTACCTGGCTTGCCTAGAGTAGGTGCTGGGCGCTGGTTTTCCAATGGGGTTTGCCTGTGCGCTGCTCCGTGCGTGGTGCCTGGTGACAGCAAGTACCACTGGGACAGCACCTGCTGCGTGTAAGACATGGTGCCAGGCATTTCCTGCACGTCATCTCACCCTCACAAACATGACAGCCGAGGGAGTCCCCCGTGTTCAAATGACTGAACTAAGGCTCAGATAAAGGTGTTTGTCCAAGGGCGGGGGCAGAGCCAGGAATCAAACTCAAGTCTGTCTGTCTCCAAAGTCCCCTCCCTTCTTTGCTGCACCACGTGTCTGACCCAGGTCTCCGGTGCTCGGGGGCCTCGGCTTCCAGACCCGTCAGCAGGGCAGGACGGCTGAGCCCTTAGCGCAGCATGAGTGGACGTGCTGTTGGCCCCTGGGCTGCTCCTCGGGAAGTGGTTTTGCGGGCTCGGATTGGACACTTACCTCTTCTTTCTGCCCCTGTCCAGGCCTGCCTCCCATCACACCACCAAAAAGAGTGGCCACTTAACCGTCCTTGCAAGGGAAAGCTCCAGAAGAGGCCATCCTCTGCAGTGTTCCCTTTTAATTAACAGACTCTCGGTGTAGGTTAAGTTCTGTACCGATAGTACTGCGAACTTGTGAGACACCCAGCGCCACCTCAGCACGAACTCGGCCCTCTCGGGGGTGGGGGCTGGGGGGTGGCAGGCTCTTCTCTAAAAAGGCAGACAGTAAAAAGTTCAGGCTTTGCAGGCCTGTAAGTCACTATTACATATCGTCTGCTTTTTTTCCTTCTCTATTTTGTTTTATATTTCCCTTTAAAAGTGTAAAAACTACCTCTTGAGCAGAAGGTGGGTGGCCTTTGGCCCTCAGTTGGTATGTAGTCTGCGCCCTGAGTGGGATGCAGGCCGGAACCGGAAAGGAAGCAGCGTCGGAACTGCCGGCCGGTGCCGTCGGCGTTCCCCTGGCGTGAGCTCAGGTCCGCACTAGGCCGGGCAGTGGGGTGGGTTTCCACTTCATAGCAGGCTCCATCCAATGCATCTAATGAAGAATTTCTTTTAGAAGTTGGGCCAGGAGGAAAAGTGGCATTTCACTCCGATACACAGACATTTAAGCAGATGAGTGATGTTCAGAAGCGCGAGCCGTGACCACATGGCCGCCAGCATGTCCTTCACCCCAAGTGCACTGCTTCGTAACCAGTGTTCTCTGTCACATGCTGGTATTTCATCCATGTTATCTTGTCCCTGTTTTACAGATGAGGAGACTGTGGCTCCGAGAAGCTAAATGATTCAGACTAGGCCACAGGAAGTAGAGGTGAAAAGCTAGGATTTAAATTTGTATTTGCCTGGTTTCCACAAATTATTGGTTTTCTCAGCTAAACTCGATTTCCCAGTTTAAAAAGCTCTTACATCTAGAACTCTGTTCTGTTGTAGAATAGCTCCTTCGCCAGATGCTGAGAAGTTGACTCATTGCCATCTCACGGTTTATTTGTAGTTGTTTTTACTTCTTCTTTTACCCAGCCATTTGGCAAGAAGCCAGTCCAGCAATTAAGAATTTCCAAGTGGGATCAGTTTTGTATTATAGTGATGATTTGATAATAAAGTAGCAGTGATGAGAAGAGCAGTTACCAGCCGGGGACTGTGCAAACACAGTGTTAACTGTCTCCCAGTCTTGATCTCATTTGATCTTCCCAGTGGCCCGTGAGAGAGGATTCTCCCTGTTTTACAGATGAGTTAATGGGATCAGAGAGGTGAAGGAGCTTGCCCATGTTCACGCAGCCAGCAAGGGGTGGACCCGGGCTACTGAGCCATCCTTATCCAACTCCAGAGGCCACAGAGTATTCATTTACTCGGCTGACACTTGAGGGTTTGCCATGAGCCAGGTGCTTGCTGAGGACCAGGGTTGCGGCCTTCAGCCCCGCTGACCAAAGTCCTGCCTGAACGGCACATCACCAAGGAAAGGCAAACAATGTGACCAAGTGCCACAGCGGGCGACAGGATGGGGAGTGACTCACTGCCGTAAGGAGAGCAGTGGAGAAAGGCCTGTGCAGGAGGTGATGTCGAGCCGAGGTCTGATGTTCAGAGGGGGCGGCCGTGCCCTGGTGGGAAGAAGTGGTCCAGGCAGAGGGCTGCTCGTGCAGGCGGCTCTTCTGGCTTCTTACCAGTGTGGATGTTTAGGCTGTGATTTCCTGAACAGGGTGATGCAGAAGTGTTGCTTTGTGCTGTCCTTCAAAGCCAGACCTGGGGAGGCGCCCGGTTTCATCTTTGACTTTTCCTCCCTTTCTTTACCCCTCCCACCTTGCTGGTTCCTGTACACGATGCCCCTCACTTCACAATGGGGTCATACTAGGGTGAAAGTGCATTTAATACACCGGCTGCGCGTCCCGCGTAGCCTAGCCTGCCACAGACGTGTGCCTGCGGTTGGGCAGCTGAGTTTCATCTCGAAGCAGCAGCCGTCTTCTTAGCAGAAGCAGGAGACGCAGGCGGGCGTTTCGTAGACACGATGGGATATAAAAATACAAATACATTATCCGGAAAATGCCGGCCACTCAGTACGCTGTCGAGTGTTGGTTGTTCACCCCCATGATCACAGAGCTGAGTGGGCACTCGGGGTTGCAGTCCAGCATTGCAGGAGAGTCTTACACAGCACACACTGCTAGTCTGGGAAAAGGTCCAGCTTCCGAGTTTGGTTTCTACTGAATGTGCATACCGCTTTCGCAGAAGCATAAAGTCAAGGGTCATAAGAGGGGAACTGCCTGTATAAAGACACAGGGTCACTCTCGGTGTGTGCCTCTGTGGGAGCTTGATTGCCTGGTGTCCGGAGTATTTCCCTATTGTCATTTAAAAAAATCCTCGGAGTAATCCCTTAATCTGTGAGTGTGACCCCGGGGGTATCTCACTACACGGTGGGCCTGACCCCGGAGGAGGCTTCCCCTTTGAGGCCAGTGTCCCTTTTCCTGGCAGTTTAGAAGCTTTAATGAGTGTATGTCTGTGTGTCTTCACGTGCACTCTTTTTTGAAAGTGAGCCGACCTGCGGGTGGGGTTGAGAGTGGTGACGGGACAGCTTCCCCTGTCTGTCCGTGGAAGTTACACTGGTCAGGACAGGCCCTGAGGTTCCCTGACAGCTCATGGTGGTGGGATCCCGGCCCGGAGAGTCCTCTTCTGTCCCTGGCAGCGTCATTGTGCTGCTTCAGCTGGAGGCGGAGGACAGGGAGTTCGGTTCTTCCTGTGTGACAGCAGCCGCAGGCCACTGGAGAGATGCTGGTCAGAGCTGTCATTGGGGACCCCAGGTCATCAGTCTACACACCCAGTGTTGTCAGGGTGCACTGGGGACGCTCTTCCGGGACCACGTGAGGACCGTTCTCCCCGCTGGACCGCACGTGCTGAGCCACACCATTCCGGGCTGTGAGTTGTCGGTGGTCATGCTGGTGGCTGAGGGTGGGGCCTGGAGCATGAGCTCTTTTCCCCGTGGTTTCAGGACAGATGGAAGTCAGCCAGGGACTGGGAGGCCTTGTCTCTGCCTGCGGCAGCTCAGGCCAATGGTTACTCTGGGATTTCTAGGGACCAGACTGTTCCCTGGCTGAAGGTACAGTGGGTCACACCTCCTTTTCATCCTTCGTCCCGGCCCTTCCCCAGTGGACTGACTCAGCCCATCCTCAGGAATACTCGATCGTCGTCAGCCCAGGGGGTGAAGCCGTGGAGCTGTAATTGTCCATGTGTGCCCCTTTCACGTTCGCCAGTGGGCTCCGTGAAGGCCGCTCTGAGGGGAGACATCCCCCCCCCCCGCCCCCCGCTCCGCCAACCCGATGACACTGCCACATGGTCGCTGGCTCTGGTCGCTCTGATCTGCTGCATGAGGGGCCTCGAAGTGCTCTGTGTCCTGGGTCTTGTGAGAGAAGCCATGAGCAGGGCCGCCCTCTCTCGACAGCACGCCTGACCCCCATGCTAATTGGGACCCGACGACCAGGTGTTTCTGAATCCTTGGATCCTGATGAATGGCAGTTAGGACTGGGTTTGGCTTGTGCTCTGGCCTCTCGCCCTCTCGCCACCTCAGGTGACCGAGCGCTGCCAGACTTGGGCACGTTGGGGCCCAGGGTCCTCTTGTGGCGAGTGCTGTGCTATAGGGGGCCTTCAGCGCGGCCTGCTCTGTGGACCGCTCACTGGAAGGACCTTGCCTTGTCCTGGAGGCCGGCAGTGCGCTCTCCTGCTCCACGGTGTTGTCCCCGCCTCCCCGCCCGACACGCACACACTGTGCTTTAAAACTGAACCTGGGGCACTTCTGCCAACACCCAGTACACAGGCAGACACGGCCCCGCCAGCTCGGGCAGGGGGTGCGCGCACGTGCAGTGGAGACCTGGCGTCCTGCTTCCCTCGCCTCCCTGTGTCTTGTGGGTCTGTCAGCCTTGCTTACCCTTGACATTCTCCTGAAGGAGACGAGGGGAAGGAGACCCCAGTGACGTGCCGACACTCAGAGCTGAAACAGGCTAGAGCCGCACCAGGTCTCTCCGGGGGGGGGGGGGCACTCTCCCCGCCAGAGGCTCCTCTCCCGCGAGCATCCCGAGAGGAGGCCTTGCTCCCGGGCCTGTGAGGGCTTTGACTTTGCAGGGAATTAGAATTAATTGCCAGCACATGGAGTTGGTATGATCTGGGCGCGGGAGCTGATTGACTAGCAGGCCTTCCGGCTTGTAATGCTGTTGGGGTGTGGCGTCCCCTCTCCCCTGCCTGCACTCGGCATTTCTCCGTGATGCAGTAAATGTGCCAGCAGGCGGGGGTGTGACTCCTCCCGGGGAGGGGGGGCAAGAGGCGAGTAGGGACAGAGCTGTGTGTCCGGCACGATCCCTTTGAAGCCAGCCGCCAGTTCCTTTTGTTGACCCTATTGCTCGGAGCTCTGCTACATACT